AGACCACCAGGTTGGTCTGACAGGACCTCCCACTGATGAACCCGTGTTGGTTGCCCCTAAGCATGCAGTCCCCTGCTGGCCCCTCCTGGATGTGTGCCAGAATAATTTTCTCGAACAGCTTGCCTAGGATCGAGGTACGACTAACTGGCCTATAGTTTCCCGGGTCCTCCTTCCTCCCTTTTTTGAAGATGGGAACCACGTTGGCCCTCTTCCAGTCCTCCGGTACCTCTCCAGAGCACCACGAGTGCTCATAAAGCCGTGCCAGGGGACCTGCAATGACCTCGGCCAGTTCCTTTAGAACTCTAGGGTGGAAATCATCCGGACCGGCTGACTTGAAAACATCCAGCCCCTCCAGAAGCTCCCTAACTAAATCCTCGCTAACCCTAGGCCCAGGTGTGCCCCCCTGGGGCCCGAGGGAGGCCCAGCAGGGAGGTGGCTGTTCTGGTCCCTACTTAGGAAGACGGAGGCAAAGAAATCGTTAAACATGTTAGCTTTGTCGTCTGGTGTGACGACCAAATTTCCCAACGCGTCCTGCATTACATTCAAACATTAAACTACAAAAAAAAAATCCTCATGGCCCAGGAAGATTAACACCTTTGAATAAAGTAGGTTCAGTTCCTCTGTGGCAGGCCTGGGGCTTCCCAGATAGACTTAAGAGACAAAGAAAGCATCCAGGACAACTAGAGAAAAAGGGAGATAGCTGTGATCAATGGGAAATTCCCAGAGCTGTATGTGTTCCTTGGAGAAAGCTAAGGAAGCAGCTGAAAGAACTGCCTACAGACCTTACTAAGCCAAAAGGCTGAAAGCCAACAAGGCAGCAGAGGGACTTGCATTCCCCATGCCACCAAACCAAACCCAAAGAGTTGGAAAAGCAAGAGAACAGCAGAAGGATTCATCTGCTGACTTCCCCTGTTCCAGAAAGGATTTGAGGGCCAGGGAAATAATGTGGGACGGCAGAAACGCAATGAACTTTCCAAACTGGAGGGCTGAGAGGCAAGGGGGCAAAGAGTCTGGCCGACTGACTGACCGGCCCAACAAAAAGGATGCCCCTGCCTCTGCTGAAGAAGGAATTCAGCCTGAGCTGGTGCAGCAGTTTCACAAAGGGGATGGAAGAGCAGCCGTGGGAGAGGTGGGAGACACCAGAACTGGGGTATGCGTGTCAATATACCTTGTACAGGACTTTTAAGGAGTGTGTGCATTAACTGGAATAAATGGAAAAATGTGTTGCAATTGTAAGCACTTCCACTATGTGTAATGATCAGGGATCTGGATTTTCTATTTGGCATGGAAAAATGCAGTAAAACCCAGGTTTTCTCATTTTAAAGAGAAACATGCAGAAAAAGGCAGGTTTCCCCTTTCAGGATGGCAGAGTTCCAGCTCGCAAGGGGCTGGGGGGAGCAGGAGGAGGGCAGTCAGGCAAGAGATGCCATGTGCACATGCATACGTACACATGCACATGGCCCCCAGGCAGCCTGGAGATCTGGTCCCACAGCTCCCTGCAGGTATGTAGAGGCAGAGGGCAGGGGCGGGGTACTGAGGCCCCCATAGTGAAGGATTGAGTTGGGTAGGGCAGAAGCTGGGGATGCTGCTCAGCCAGAGTGGTGCAGCCACAGAGCCTGGGCAGAGAGCGGGATGGAGCTGTGGGAGCTCATCTGGGGGGCAGGGGGCTCGCTCCCTGCACACTGCCAGGGGGGCCATGTGGGGCACATGCCCCCATATCTGTGCACGGGGTGGAGGTGGGCTGCCTTCTGTATGCTCAGATTCCCCACCCTGCTGCCCTCCCTGCAGGGCCTCCACAAACCAGTGGGTGGGACCAGACAGGGAAGCTGGATGCTACTGCCTGGAGCCCCATGCCGCCACGTCACGGCGCCCCCTGCCCACCAGCAGCACTAGGGGTGGTGGTGCAGAGTTTTGCCCCCTGATGCTACCAGGTGGGCAGGGAGCACCTCACCATGGCAGCGCAGAGCTCCCAGCAGCAGCAATGAGCCTCCCCACCTCAGTCTGCTGTGCCAGGTCCTGCCTGCTGGGCTGTGGAGGGCCTGGGGAGAGGACAGCAGGGTAGGCAGCCTGAGCCCACAGAGGACAGTCCACACCTCCCCCAGAATTTGCTTCATCTGTGCTGCCCATGGGAGAGGGGAAGCCAAGCTTCACCACAGCAGCCACTGCCTCCCACATGCAGCAGCCAGGGCTCAGGCACTGCTGTAGTAGAGGGCAGGGAGCTGTGGACCCAGGCCCCTGGCCCCATAGCTGTGGCAGCTGGGGGCCCCCTCCAGCAGGGCTGGAGGGGGCGAGAAGTGAGGGGCACCAGCAGGACACTGGTATAATCAGGGCTGCTCAGCACCACAAAGCAGTGGAAGGGGACAGCCACAGCTGGATCCATGTCCTGGTGAGCAAAGGAAGGGGGCAGGGAGAGCTCTGGATTTACCATGAGAAAAAACCCAAAATCAAACACCAACATTTATAGGTATTTAGAAGTTATGTTATTACAGTGATTGAGGCACTGGCAGGCTTCCAAATTGTTTTGAAATTGTAAATATATCAATAAACATTGTCTTTGTGTGTGTGTGCATGCACACACAGATATAGATATATAGTGGCATTTCATTTTAATTGTGGGAAAAAAACCCACGGATTTTGGGGCTGAGGAAGGGAAAACAAAAATGGGTGTTTTGCAGTATTGTACATGCCAACAGGGGGTGCTTCAGCAGCAAAGCAGTTTTGTTAGACATAATGAAATTGAGGAATCTTAGGAGGGAAAACTAAGGCAGGAAAACCTCAGGGGATCCCATTTTCTGGGTCTCTCTGGTTTGGAAAGTTGACACCAAAAATAAGTAGTATAAAGCAAGGCTACATAGTAAATCAGCAGCAGGCAAGGGAGTAAGATTTACAAGATTTCTTAGACCTTAGGTTTTGTATACCAACCACTAAATCAGTGGATAGACCAAGTGAAAAAAATGGTGCATCTGAGTCTACTGAAACTGACACCCAAGAACAAGAAAACCTCATTACAAAAATCAATCAATCAATCACTAGTGACCAGCCAGGCTGTAAAACATCCTTCCATTTTTCAGCTAGCATATGCTAATTTTAGTCCAAGTTTCTTTGACACAAAGGCTGCTTGTAGACATTAAAAATAAATAAATAAATAAAATGGCACTTGACTTTAAACTTGCCCTGTTCACACAAGGAGCTCCATGCATGCCTAGAAGAGGCAGTATGTCAGCTGGGCTCTGCTCGTCTGACATCCGTAAAGATCAGGCACTTTAGTGGGGCCTTTTTTGGTGCTTTTATCTAATAGTTGATCAAATCAGCTTCAGCTAAAAGTGCCAATAAACCCCTGCTGAAGTGCCCAATCTTTACAGATGCTGCAGAGCTGGATCCAACTAATACACTGCTGCTTCTGATACAGCATTTTTGGTTGGTTTGTTTTTTTAATGTTTGCAAGCAGCCAAAATGAACAAGAAAAGATTACTAGGACTATTTGGTAACAAGGCAGAATAAGATCCGACTGTTCAGGAGAAATAAAATGGGACTTAAAGCACCATCCCTAATAACTGCTACTCTGTTTCACTAATGTTTTAAATCTACATGACACTGCAATCCAAATAAGAGTTTTACTTAGTTTCATTTATTAAAAAAAAACAAAAGATGCAGGTCAGAAGGGACAACAGTTCGTGAAAATATTGGACAATAATAGGACATCTAGTGCTGGGCCTAGGACAAGGATGCCATGCTCAATAATCTTTCAAAAAGGCAAAGGTGCACTCAATCAAGGCTTTTACCTACTTCTGAAAGACAAATATGACCATCCTTTTCTATGCCATACCCAAAGAAACGGCTAAGTTATTTAAGCAAATGTGAATATACTATACTTCCCATACAGAATATTTTCTAAATGAGGAAAAGGCCACATTTGCCTTCCATTTTTGCTATGGGTTAAAGCACCACAGTGCAAAACAAGCAAACAAAAAACTGCATCTTATGCAGAAATATATCAAAGTTTAACTATTTTCTATTCATGCAATCTGGAAATTAGAGGCATTTGTTATTGAAGCAAACCTTTTTTTTTTAAATCAGGCAAAATATAAATCATAATATTTTGATGTCTCTTACCTGGCAAAGAAGAATTTATACAACCCCAAACTTCTCCCTGAAAAGTAAAATGCAATTAAACAAAAGTAAATTTTTAATCAGTGACAGACCATGACATTCTACTACATTCATACTCAAGTTCAGAATAGAACAGCAGAATGACTAATCTACCAATGGTGCAAATTTCAAGGCATTTAGACAAACTTCTAAGGAGCTGGGAAGGAGCTTCCAACCACAAAGACAGAATTTTGCTCAGGTAGCATGAAGATGGGTAACTGTATAAAAAGACAGATGGAAGAAAGATCCTAAAAGATAAATTAATCAAGAAGGTTTAAATATAAGACCTCTACACTTGTTTTCTCTAAAAACCAAGTTGGGTGAAGGTGCAGAGACTCTAGAGGGTAGGGACAGGATTCAAAATGACATTAATAAATTGGAGAAACTGTCTGAAATTAATCAAAGAAATTCAGTAAGGACAAACATGAAATCCTTGGGACAGAACAACTGTATGCACACATACAGACTGGGAAAAGGACTAGGCTGCAGTACTGCAGAAAAGGAGCTGGGGGTTATAGTAGCTCATATTTAGCTTATGGTCTAACACTGTGCTCTAATTGCAAAAAAAGCTAATTAGCATACTGGTTTGCATTAACATGCTAATCACCTGCAAATCATGAGAAGTAATTCTCCTGTTCTGTTCAGCACTGGTGAGACCTCATCTAGAGTGCTGTGCTCAGTTTTGTGCACCTCACATCTAAGCCCCCTTCCATCTCCATATGGGGTCTGAACATGAATCTCTCAGGACAGTGTTCTAACCACCTTGACACAGGATAGGCACTAACCAAGCTGCTTACTGGTGCTCCCTGTGAAACTTGCCCCTGGGCTGCCAAGAAGGGGAGAATCATGAGACAAGAAGAAAGTACGGAAGCCTGGGGGGTGGCTCAGCAAGACAGCTACTGCCTTTAGGGTGTGTTGTCTTCTAGCCTGGAGCCTTGCTTCTATTAAGGTAAAAATGTCTGCACTGGCATCCATCAATTTTTCCCCAATAACTTCAAATGCGAGGGGCTATGGCTCAGTTTCAAAATGAATGCTGGCCAAGATTTTGGATGATACCCATCTGGTACCACAGAAGTTAGAGCACTGAACTAAGAAGTCAGAAAAACTCAAGTTCAAACCCGCTCTGGGCAAGGCTGCCCTAGAACCTGAGTCTCCAGCTTGTCAGTTGACTAACCTAATCCCTCAACTACAGGGGTTAAAAAATGAAAGCATCCTCCACCATTTTGTTGTTTCCAGGAGTTGCGCCCAGGTATGCACCAACATAGCTGTTTACCTGCCTAAGATTATGCATTCAGGAATAGAATTCCTACCTGTGCATAAGTGACAGAACTGCCACTTCCATAACTCCCACTTAAACAAGCAACAGGAAACAGAATGCCACCCTGAATCAACCAATTAAGGAGAATTACAAGTCTCAGCAAGTGGATGGAAAGATGGCGTAAGAAAACTTTTAGCTTGTTAAGCACGATAAAAGGATGTGCCCCAATACTGGACACTACTTAGTTCCATTTTGGTTATAAAAATCCAGAAAACTTGAAGGGATTGTTTAAACTGAGAATGATATATGCTACAAATATCTGCAGTACTTGAACTATTATGTTTTGAAATATAAAGTACAACGAAAGTTAGAGATGTGCTGAAGAAAGGACCAGCTGAGGCCACAGAGAATGACTCAGTAAAGGTTATGCGTCTCTGGTAATTAACCATTCAAACTAAAATTATATGCAGTGCACCAACCACTACTTTAGAAGGTCAAAATGTAAAACTATCAGTTTCTCCGTACTATGCACTCAAGCCCACAAAGTTTAAGTAAGGGGTGGGCAAAATACAGCCCACAGGGCACATCCGGCCCACCAGGCCATTCTATCCAGGCTGCAGGGCCCCTAAAAAATTTAGAAAATTAATATTAATCTGTTCCTGGCTGCCTGTCAAAGATGAAAAGACACTGGTGCAGTAGGACCCAGGGGAAGCCAGCAGCAGGACCCAAGCAGCCCAGCAGCAAAGCCTGCCCGGCCCCACCCCACCGAACTGGAAGCCTCTACCTAGCAGAGGCTTCTGACCTGGGACCTTGGGGCTGTTCATGCCTCCCTCTGCCGGAGAGGGGAATTCAGATACGAGGCACAGAGTGTGGGGGGAGGCAGGAGAGGACCATGGGCAATCGCCTCAGTCCTTGGGGCCAGGCTGGGCCAGCTCCTGCTGAGTCCCGCAGTCCGGCAATGCAGCCAGGAGCCACATGGTGCTGTAGTGACTGACAGTGGGCAGGAAAGTGGGGAAATGGCAGCTATAGGCACAGGAGTGGCAGAGAGTGGGCACACAGGAATGCAGAGACAGCTGGGCAGGAACGCAGGGCCCGCGCTGATATCCCAGGGCCAGCACCAGTGCGGCCCAGAGCAGGGAGGCAGGAGTGTGGGGTCTGGCACCAGCTGTGCTAGAGACTGCGCAGGGATCCCACGCTCCTGCCACCCCGCTCTAGGACCCGCTGGCATTGGCTCCAGGACACAGGTGCCTCCTGAGTTACGTGGGCACTTGCCCCCCCCAGCAGCCAGTCAGTAACCGGGGGGCAGGGGGGAAGGGCCCCCCACAGCTAATTACACCGACCCGGAAGTGCCAGAGGCGTGCCCAGAAGTGCCAGTGGCGCTTCTCCTGGCACCCTGCTCCCTGGCCGGCACTCTCAGAAGGGGCACCAGCACTCCCACCTGCCCCCCCCGCCTGTCGCCTAAGCGAGGAATGCTACCTTTCAGGGGGTGCACCAGTGCTCTTAGGGGGGGTGCACGTGCACCCCTTACGCATTACCACTGGCTGCAGGCCCCGCACTCCCGTTCAGCTGTTGCTGTACCCACTCACTGCCACTTGCCCCTGACTGTAATTGCTATTTCCCTGCTTTCCTGCCTGCTGCCAGCCACTCCAGCACCACATGGCTCCTAGCTGCATCACCGGACCACAGGAGCATGGGGTCTAGGACGGAGGAACAGAGACGGAGTGTGTGTGTGCGTTTGTAATGCGAGTGACACACGCACACCTCACCATACACATGTACCCACACCCACCCTTGCACCGCCATACATGCAGACTCCTACACCCTCCCTCCCACAAACCCACACCCCACATATCCACACAACCGCCACACCCCAAAAACCCCCACACAAACACCCACTTCCTCCCACACACCCCACATACCCACACAACCACAGCCCCCCACAAACTTATACCCAACCCCCATGCCCTCACCCCCCCAACAACATACAAGAGTAAGACTACATTTTAGGCTAATGTGCAATCATGTCTATAGACACTACACAAACTCATAAATCAGGACAAAAATATTATTGAATGTTGTAGATGTTCACTTTTTAGAATATAATTTGGTATTTTTATGGTTCTGAGATGGCAAAACCCCTTAATGAAAGGAGTACTTCTGGGGGCAAGGGGAGGGACTTTTGGTGGCAAAGGTTAGGGGCTAGGGGGTGGGACTTCTGGTCACAAGATGGCAACCAGGGAGCAAGGCACCTGTCAAGGGGCAGGGCTACCCATGCAACCATCAACAGCTTGCCAGAACTCAGTAAGCAGCCCCCCACCCTAAATAATTGCCTGCCCCTGGTTTAAGTCCTATGAATATGGTATCTTTAAAAAAATATATCACAGTACGGATACAACAACTGAGTACATAAAAACTCCTCTTAAAAGGACTTAATTTGCAATTTAATGCAAAGTCACTGCATCTATTAGTAGGGGTCTACCCAACTCAAGGAGGCAGCCACCTAATTTTGTGGGCTGATCACAGGGCCAGCTGCCATTTTCAAGGGTTTATTGTGGCTGCCCACTACCCACCACCACCACCAATTGGCTGCAAAGGCGCCCCATCATGGAGCCCTGTCCCTCACTGCCAATTGCTGAAGAGGGGTAGGGCCCCATAACAGGCAGTCCTCTCAGTCACCCAACAGCGAAGGGGCAGGGATGACAGCCAACTTGGGCTCCCCTGTGTGCCAGCAGCCCCACCTCCTCTCTTCCCCGTCAGTGGGCCGCACTGCCCAGTTGCAACACTGTGAGGACTGCTGGCTCCCTCTGGGAAGCCAGCATTTTATTTTCGGTAAGTTTTGTTTTTTCTTTGCATATTTCATGGGCAATGCTGGATTTTGCATTTTCTGCAAAAAATCACAATTACGGTACATCCCTATCTATTGCTTTTGAGCAAGCACTGGGAGAATATTAACTATTCCATGTTGTATCACAAGAGCGTCAAAGATATGACCTGTGGGGTCCCATCGCCTGGTGCTGTCCTTGGGTACCCCCCACAGTGCACCCCAGCCTTGCCCTGTGGGCAAGGCAGAGGATTTGAACCACACGCAGTGCCCATCCTGGCTGCTCTGGGATCCATGCTGCACACAGCACCAGTTCCAACAAGTCCAGGACACATTACATGCACAGGCACAGCCATGGACTAGTCGGGGGGGTACACTGTGTGTGGTGCAGATCCCAGAATAGATGCCACATACAACGCTGTCTGACAAAGGTAAGCCACACGTCGTACACAGCATCTGCTCCTGGCTGATCCAGGACCTGTACTACACATGGCACCTGCTCTAGCCAGTCCAGACCCACAGGGCGAGATGAGTTTGACACCCCTGAAGCATCATATCAGTTCAACATGACAGAATCAAAAGAAAATTCCATAGTGGAAGTAGAAGTGAAGAGGCTCATGGGCCAGAGACAAAAGTATTAAATGGCAAGAAGAGAAAGAACGCTGGCTGTATTTCTCTTCAAACAGGAATTCAAATTTATTTTCGTTTTATGCATCTCTTCCAACTGCCCATCAACTTGCCATGCCAGACTAGACCAGCCCAGAAGCCAGAAGAAGGTGAGAATGCTGTCATGAAGAAGATGATGCTACTGGTCCCATTCTACTGCTGAAAAGTACTCTTCTTCTTTCCCACAAGACAGTTCACTCTGCTTTTGATTACTGTACTAAATACAATTCCAAGTTATTCTCCATGGCCTCCCACTCTGATAATATCTGTACTGTGCCTACTCCAATCTGTGGCTAGAATGCCTTTTCTACCACAATTTCAAATGCTGAGTGTTGCAAACATGATAGTCCAGATAGCATGCAGAAGGCAAGATGGATTTTTGTGATATCTTTTATTCAACCAACTGTATACTTGAGCAAGGTATTGGACAAACTTCTGGGCACAAAGCGCTCTTCTTCAGGTGATCTAACTAAAGGTGACCAGAAGAAGGGCATTTTGTCCCCAAAAGCTTGCCCACCATTTCTCCCAACTATACAGTTGGCCCAGTAAGAGATAACAGAACACGTACGCTTTAACACCACATCCTTTTTATCATTAACAAATCATCATTTCCAGATATAAAAATACATGGTTAAGCAGTGCACACACATTTTTCATCACTGATTTTAAAGTATATTTCATTCACCACTAGAAAAAGGAGAACTAGTAGCTAATTTCTTTTTCCTGTCCCCTATATATCCACGCTACCCCTTTTCTTAGCTCTACAGTACCTCCTGAAAACATTCTGTCATGATAGCCGTAAGTCCTAGTCCTCTACTCTATTTATGTAAATAAAAAAAATACATATGAAAATAAATGCTATTACCAGCTTGCAATCTGTTTATTAGATCTTGTATTTTACTTATACCAGCAGTTTTCAAACAATGGTTTGTAGACCACCATTCTCTTCACTGATTACCCACAGAAACAAAACATTAAGAATTATGTCTTGAGAATGTGGGAGAAGAGGTAGCCCATTAGGGAGTTTTCTTTCTTAAAAAGGCCCCACAAAATGCTAGAGCTGGAGAATTAATAGACCTACACATTGTTCACTTAAACTGAACACTCTTTAAGAAGGAGACCTGGTTTCAACTTGTCTGAGAACTCAGCGAAATGCTGATGCTATATAAAACAATAAAAATTGATCAGTAAATTATGAAAATTAAAATTTGACTATCTTCAAGTAAAATTGTTGCTGTGTTTCCATGGTAGAAGGCTTTCAAATTAATCTATATATCAATGATTATTTCTCAGGGTATACAAGTAAGCAAGCAGTTAAGATGCAACAATCCATTATGTAATTTCCTAGTATTTAACCAGATTACTTTCAAAAAGATTACTTAAACTGTTATATTACAGCCAATAAAAAGATTTCTCCAGAGTCTCACCTCTGGCCAAAGCTCAGTCAGAGCAGCTTCATCGCTCACCTTTTAACTAACTCAATCCTGGACGAGCTGTGTGTCAGGCTGCCATCAACCGTAGAGACAAAATGGCAAGCACACCCCACAAGGTAACTCTGCCCAGTATACAGCTTTATTCTTAGCAGAAAACAAATCTTAACCTCCATTATCTCTAGTAAATCCCAAGAACTAGCATTCAGCAGTATCATCAATTCTGATTTTATTGCAAACTTTGCAATACTTGATACTATTTATTAGACACTTTGCCTATGGAATCTTGAGATTACATAAGAATCTAAACTTTCATTTAAGAGTTTTCTACATCTCATACCCAGGAATAAAAGTTTGAAAAAGAAGATTAAACACTTGAGCCAGGTAGATAGGCACTTCAGCTGCTTACAGATGTGGAAAAAAAAATTGAACTTTACTTTTAGCTGCATGTGTCCCCATATCGAGCACAGCGCATACCCAGAAGAGGCACTGCATTAGCCTGACCCAGCTTGCCCAATATCTGTATAAATTTGGCACTTCAGCAGAGCTTTTTGGCATTTTTCTCTAATAGCTAATTCAATCAGCTATTAGAAAAAGCACCAAAAAGCCCTGCTGAAGTGCCCGATCTATACAGATGTTAGGGCACCACATCAAACTAACGTGCTTTGTCTTCCAGTAAAGTGCTGGTTTGTTATTTGTTTGGGGTTTTTTCCACATCTGTCAGTGGCCTAAGATAAAGACCCAGAAAGTAAACACAATTAACTCAAAATTCATCTTGAAATTTTGTAATTTTAAGCAAAGTTTCATGATTTTGAGACCTTACAGATTTGGAGAACTTGTGAAGTCAATAGTGATTTAACAAGTTTTACTTAAAAAATGTTAAAGTTTACCATTGATTCTGGGCAATATTCAGGTGCCCGCTGCAGTAAGTGCTTCAAACGGGAATCACTCTTAGAAGACAATATCTGTTACGGAAAGATCAGAAGACAGAAATATATTTTTAATATATTATAAAAATACATACACTTCCAAGTTCTTTAAACCTCAAGACTGTATATTTTTTAATCTTACTGTCTCCTAACTTTCTCGATTTAGTTTTGTGTGCACATAATGCCTTCTTATATAACATGTGAAAGTTTATTTGAAACTTGAGGTATTGGGACAATCTCTCAAAAATGCCACACTTTTCTGAGATGTGGAGGTAGATTTTCTCTCTCTTCCCTTTGTAAATGCAAGGGAAGATGACTTAAGCCTGTGCTCACATGAGAAACAGTGTTTTTCCTAATCTTTTCAAACAACTCTTTGAAGGACTTAACTCCAGAGTCAGTCTCAGTATAAAAAGGTCCAGGTCTCTGGAAAACGAGCCCAGGATCTCAAGAGTTGAACCAGAGTCAGTGAAACAGTAACTGAAAAGCCTGTTTAGATCTGATAAAACTTTTATCTTCCTGATAACTTTGAGAGGGGGGAAGGAAATCAAAAGCAGGCCCTTCTCACCTTCTACATCCTCTTAGGTAAGGACCAACAGATTGAGTGTCTATTAAGGATATCTCAAGTTAAAGAAAGCAGACTGAACGCTCACAATTTACTCCTGGATGTGTAAGTGTATATGCATAGATGCCTACACACACATGCTGAGAAGACATACACACCAACAACAAAATATAAAAGGGCCCTCCTGTTTCTGCCCCTGTTACCCAAGTGGTTATGGCACTTACCCAGGAAGCCAGAAAATGCGGGTTCTAGCCCCACCACCCAACCCTGCATCTGAAAGAGCCACTAATGTGGCCCCACCTGTAGAAAAAGGACTAGCACTTCCAGTTAACATGTTTCACAAAGAGGTTTGACTAGCTGTCCACAATCTGCAAATATATCCTGTATCTGATTTTCCACCCAAGATGTAGAAAAATGACCTTGCAAAGATAGCTGGCTGTAGTGTTTTGGAGACCAAGGAATCGCATAGCAGACAGTGTATCTGCTAGCTTATGAACAGAGATCCGGGTTTTCCGTTTCCCACAGAAAAACAGAGAAAAAACAGTTTTCCCCTTTATCCGAGGAAAACATGGATTTCTCATTTTAGCAGAGAAACCCATGAAATTTGCAGTTTTGCAAAGACCTCTAGAGGCTGGCAGTTTCAGCATATAGTGGGGTGGGAGGGAACATGAGGCTGGTCAGGCAAGTTTGCCATGTGCTTGTATATGCACATGGCCACCACACAGCCTGAACAACAGTTCCTGTAGG